TCAACGCTTTTAAAAGATACATCATTTACATCAGTCTCAGACTGAGTAGTTAGGCACTTACAACAGTGCTAAAACACCTTTGAAAGGCCATTTTCAACTGACCTACATTACATTTTCATGAACATCTATTATTGAGTATAAAAGTTATGTCATATTATATACATGTCTCTATCCTGGGGCGGATCTAGGGGGGTGGGTTTGGGGACCAAACCCCTTAAATTTAAAACAATGAGACATAATAACATGCTGGCTTGGCCTCAGAATGCCGGAAATCCCATTTCTGAGGACCTAGATTTTAAAAATTTTCCGAGGGAGAATGCCCCCACACCCCAGTCCCTATCTCAAAACCCTTCTCTAAAATCCTGTATCCACTTCAGATATCCAAATTTAATTCGCTGTTCACTGTACATTTTCGTTATTCATTAACTATACCTCACAGATGTGCTACCCCTCCACGTAAGTTATCAAATGATACTAATACTAATACTAATACTAANTCCCTATCTCAAAACCCTTCTCTAAAATCCTGTATCCACTTCAGATATCCAAATTTAATTCGCTGTTCACTGTACATTTTCGTTATTCATTAACTATACCTCACAGATGTGCTACCCCTCCACGTAAGTTATCAAATGATACTAATACTAATACTAATACTAATACTAATACTAATACTAATACTAATACTAATACTAATACTAATACTAATACTAATACTAATGTCACGAGCAGTCACGCGTAACAATTATGTAACATTTAGTCACGAAGTTTTGGTTTTGTTTGTACAGATGGTACTTGATTTCAACTTGATTTTCCGGTTTTTATATCATGATCAAATTACTTGTATATATTTTATGACACGTGTGAATTAACTAACACTAACACTAACACTAACACTAACACTAATACTAAAACTAACACTAACACTAACACTAATACTAATACTAATAATAATAATGAAAGTCTGCTGTTTAAACACTAACCGGGCATGTGTCCACTAATTTTAGAAAGTCGATGATGGCATGAGCTTGTGAATTAGTATTCTAGGATCTCATGATATTTTTATTTTCATTAAAATTTTAGTCTACGATAGTGGAATGTGTGGAGATTTGCAAATAGGTTTTCAGAAGAGTGTCATAAAACCAAAACCATTGAAAGTAATCACTCTGGCCAATCACAAATAACACAGACAGTCTGGTGAGCCAATCAAACCTCAGAGTAATTACATGTAGCTGACCCAAAGGGTGGGAAAACATGTGCAAGCGAATCGCAATTGACTATGGTCTTACTTGTTTGGATGAAAAAGCGGCACAAGTTTTTTTCAAAAGGCAATTGTGTAGCATAGTAATGCAAAACCAGTTACTGTACTTTTCGACACTCAAATGAAAACTGCTCTAGATGGATGAGCTAATAAGTAAAAAGTGCTTTGTTGTGGAGCTTAGGTGCCCCACACCATAGTACATGCACATGCATAGGGCAGGGTCAAGTGATCAACATGGCTGCACATTCACTATTCACATACTATGCTGTAAAAGCAACAATATTGTATCCAGTTACACCGTTAGTTTGCACGTCCATCTGTTGAAACAATTGACATGGCAACTCAGGTCTTGTTCTTGGATGTAAACCAATTGATTTCTTGCTCAGTTTTGTCAATGTCGTGTTTGGAGGCATGGAGGCGGTATTGGATTTCACGAGCTCTGTTGAAGTGCTCTAGAGCTTCTTCTGTTGAACCCAGGGCTCCAAGAGCACAGCCCACACCATAGTAAGCTCTGGCAGTGTCCAAATGTTCATCACCTGAGATACAAAATAACCATAGAGGAAATGATTAGACTTTTGAAAGCTCCACATGTACAAAGTATCTAAAGTAAAATCGTCAAAGTGCGGAACGACCCCAAAGGCAACAAAAAAACAAAAAACAAAAAAAAATAAGATACATTGTAGCAAAAAAATAATGAAGGAAATGTATAAAGAAGTTAGTCATAGAGGCGGTGAAAAGAAAACTCAGACGGCACATTTGTTGCAGCTAATTTTTGACCGCGTCTATATGTATTCCCTTTTCTACTTAAGTTAAATGTTTTGTTTTTTCAATTTATCCCTGGTCAATAATAATTAAAAAAAAAAATTAACCGACTAGAAGAGAATGATAGGGGCTGCACTCCTATCCTTACCCCTATGTACAGGGGGGAAGGTGGTACTGACTGCCACCTCATACCATTATAGATGAGGTAGGATAGAGGAGGGATCCCTTAAATGTAATTATAATGTACATGCACGCACTTGCCCCTCAATGGTGCAGTTCCAGGAAATATTCATACCCACCCCATATGGAAGGTCATTGGATATTCTGAGGAAAGTGTTAAGGTGANAATAATAATAATAATAATAATAATAATAATAATAAAAATACTAATAATACACATGAATTTATATAGCGCTCATTTCCAGAGCTCAATGGCGCTTTACAATATTTGTAATTAAAATTAAAACCAATACTACTTAAAATTACAATATCATCATACGAATTAAAAAATAAAAATAAAAAAAGTTCCAACAAAAAAAATATATCACTAATTGTATTATTGTATCATTAAGAAATGTCATTCTCTCTTAAACCATAGGGTGTTGAAATGTGTGTATTTCAGAGCTCTCATATCATGTCTATAAGATACACATTACTTACGGACGACACTAGAAACGACGAATATGTCCATATTTTTTGAAGGCATTGTTTAAGATAAGTAGTTAGTAAAATTTTCTTGTTTTATCAATTTTAGGCGTTCTCGGCCTAGCAACTATCAGAACTGTCTGTGATTCGTTAGCGCGGAAGAAATTTATTTGCGTGGCCTCCGGTCGATAATTGACGTAACGACAAAATGTGGCGTGTTCGCTTACTCCTAATTATGGCCTAATTTGTTTGAAGTTCAATCGATTCTCGATGTAGGAAGCTCTTGTTCAGCCCATTCAGGACGAAGCACGACAGCTGTAACAATTGGAGCACCGCAGCCGTTAATCTGAACATAAGAACCAATCAAAATTCGAGAAGAATTCGACACATTATATAATCACTAGCCTAAGAATACAGCCGCCTCTCATTCGCTCCCGCTACTACGTGTGAAGGGAGCGAATGAGAGGCGGTTGTATTCGCAGGCTATATAATCACGTGTAGATTGACCGTTCACGCAAGAGCTGTGTTATTTATTTCTCCCTTACACGAGCGAAAAATCGCCTGTGTAAATACCTCAACCCAGAAATTTTCACACTTTTGCGAAAAATGTTTATTTCTATCCTCAGCTCAGTGTCAAGCTCTGTTTCATCTCGTCTGACAAACCGTCTGTTACAACTGCTCTCTTACAATGATCAGTCCATACCTTACAATATTTACTGATCAGTATCACCATCCGTTTCTTAACCCTCAGTTTATTGACTGATTTACCATCTTTCTTCTCAATCTTGTACAATTATATATTAACAATCTCACTTTAGCCTAACAAGCAGAAGAGTCTCATTTGACCTTATTATTACTATTATTATAATATTATTATAATGTTATTATTAGTATTTTAGGATCGCACGATATTTTTATTTTCATCAAAATTTTAGTCTACGATAGAGGAATGTGTGAAGATTTGTAAATACGTTTTCTGATATTTTAATAAAGTTTTTGTTATTAAAAGAATTTTTTATTTTATCATCATCATCATCATCATCATTCTCATTTCTCCCGCGCTTTATGAACTTCATTGGTTACCAGTACAACATCGTGTTCACTTTAAGATTTTAATTTTACCATTTAAAGCTATTCATGTATTGGCGCCAAAGTATATCATAGAATTAATTAACATTATGCCTAGATCTATATATCAGACCCTCTTAAAGGAAAAGCTTGTTACTTTAGGTGATAGATCTCTCTCTGTTGCTGCTCCATAGTTTGCCGGCTGAATTACGTGATATTCAGACATATTTGTACCTGTAAGATGAAAACTTTTTTATTTCATGTAGCTTTTAAAGCGTATCGTGCTTGATATTCACTCTTATTAGTATTACTAATTGAGGTTATTATCATTATTATAAATATTCTATTTTATTAATATACATGCAATTAGTTTTACAAATTTGAATTTTGTGGTATTTTAAGTTGTAAAGCGCTGTTGATCAGTAAATGTAAATAGCGCTCAAAAGTTATTAAATTATAATTATTATTAATGTTATTATTACTATTATTATTAATCGATTTCGTTAATTCATATTATTTTAAGGTTAATCTAATCGTCGTGGGATAGTGTTACGTGTCCGTTAAAACTCTATCCGGGAAACGAAAACCGCACACAGCAATGACTTGTGTGTATCACTACCTCGGCAATTCGTGCCTCGTCCGGTAGACTTCGCTCGTCGGGATCGTCGTCCTTTGCGACGACGACCATTTTCGGCGCCTGCTCCCGTAACATGATCGTACGACGTTTAGCTAGTTTAGTTTGATCACCGACAATGGTTTGAATCAACAAGATCCATATTTCTTGCTGTAATTGTACGATACAGTGAAATAAGACTCCTTTGCACCCTGTGGCCTTACGCTCTTTCGCTGTATCTTGTATAACATTTACATTTGTATCATGAACACAAGACTGAGGCCCCGTCCACACGCATCCGGCGAATTCGGCAGCGATATTTTTGAATCCGCCCTCCAGAGTGGAAAAAAAAAATCCGCAACGAATCCGATGTGTGGACGGTGAATCCGGATATTTTCGAGTCCAATGACGCAGGAAAATCGAGTCCAGTCTCCTACCGAGCAATAAACCAATGTGGCGGCACAACGTGCAGGCCTAGTTTCTCTAGAGTGAATCCGGATACCATCGGATGCGTGTAGACAGGCGAATTCGATTTGAAC